TCGCTGCCTCGGACCGAGACAGTCACCGAGGCTACAACTTTCTTTGTGATCAGGGCTTGGCAATTGGACATCCTTGATTAGACGAACTGTACTCTGTAATTTTGTGAATTTGGAACCCAGCACCGAAGTCCTGTACCAGTGGGTGTACTATTGTACGACACGCACACACCCTGTGGTGATTTTGAGTAGTACAGATACCCAGCCACCTATGCTGCCCGTACCAGGGTACTCAATGAGGGTTTGTTGGGGGTGGTGGGGGTCGGGTCGGGGGGGGGGGGGGGGGGGGGGGAGGGGTTTTGAGGCTCGGATGACTGCTTGCCATCGTGCGGTGTGGTTGTGATATAACTGGATTGTGTCCGTAATGTTACTGGTATATTTCCGGGTGCGGCGTAAAACAGCAATCAACTTTTGGGACATTATGTGGTGTCGTCTCTCGTTGTTACATTGATAGACCTGCTATCCTTTGTCGCACCTAACATGAAGGTAAGGGTCTCTTGATATTTGCGAGGAAGTTGACACCCGATTTCACCTAATTAATGTAAACAGTATTGAATGATATCTTGATTATAAGTGATAAAATAGATAAAATAGATTACAAACATTAGTCCAGATACACAGTTTAACAAGGTAGTGTAATAACAGACAAGACCCGTGAAGATCCAGGGTAGAATAGGTCTCCAGCAATCCATGCTTGCCCTAAAAGGCGACTATGCTTGTCGTAAGAGGCGACTAACGGAATCGGGTGGTCAGGCTCGCTGACGTTGTTAATGCCAATTTTGCGTATCCCAATTGCGTAGATCGATGCTCATGTTGTCATCACTCGATTGTCTGGTCCAGAATCGATTAATTACAGACCGCCGTCATATAGCTGGAATGTTGCTGAGTCCGGCGTTTAACAAACAAACAAAAACAGGACTAACTTGTGTACTTCAGTATGGATTTGTTGACATGCTACTGATTTCCTGTGCTACGTGCCCGCGGTAATGTCTTTGAGTGTGGAAAAAATACATTTTTGAAAATAAGCATTTTAGACGTCACCTGTACCTTAAATTGTTTCTCTCCCACGTTTTATTATGTGTATGTTACATGTTATATAGGTGTACATATTAATTTCCAGTGTTTTACCAGTCTATCATAAGCCAAGATATGAGTTCGTAAGAGGCGACTTAGGGATCGGGTGGTCAGGCTCGCTGACTTTGTTTGATGCATGTCATCGTATCCCAATTGCGTTTATCGATGCTCATAATTTAAATCACTGGAATGTCTGGTCCAGACTCGATTATTTACAGACCGAAGTCATATAGCTGGAATATTGCTGAGTGCGGCTAACAAACAAACAAGATATGACTGGTTGTTAAACTGTGTATTCAACCCGTCGAGTCTACTAAGTAGTCTCTGTCACAGTGGGTAGACGCACTTGACAACCTTGTAACCACGGATGTACTGTATAGCCCCACCCACGTGTCCCCACACCCGTTGCCGAACCCTCATCCAACCCTACCCGTTAACCCACTTCTATTAAGCACGAGCCTGATCTATGACAAATAAGCACCTCGAATAAAGTCAAGCACCAACACTTCCTATACTTGTTTACCTCACGATGTTCGTGTATATTTTAGAAATATCTACCAATACCATTGACCTCGTTTTAATAAAAATGTTAAATACCTTTAATATTGAGAAGATTATACATGAACACTGTAGGTTGGTTCAGATGATAGTTTCGGATGATTTTCCAGTTTGCCCAGCCCTCACTTAAACACCACATCCCAAAATGAAGCAAGTCTAGATTTTCCAAAGGTTCTCTCATCTCACTGGGGCTCCTCTTCAATTATTTGGTTCTGTCAATGTTGTTTTCAGAGACTAAGCGTCTAAGGAGGATGGTGATGAGGATTGTGGTGGTGATGTCGTATGATGCAATGTAGCAGATGAAGCAGATGAAGGGGCAGTCAAATATATGGGGAACCAATCATTAAAATCACATTCAGTTCTCGCTCCCTCCAATCAGTGCGGTGGCTAGCTATCAGATCTGATTTTAACGAGATTGATAGGGAACAGTTTCACAATATATCAACATGATCGGTTTCGGAAAACGAAAACAAAGTAGTTTCGACCAGAAAAAGCAATGCAGGATTCAAATTTATAAAATGTCTTTTTTTATATCGAAATAAATAGCAAGTCGCGCATGACGTTTATAGATGTAGATATCAAACAAATGGGTCTGACAATCAATGCAGAATAAGATATTTTTATATTTTTTAACTTTATTATATACATGTATGTATGAAAATATGTACAAAAAGGTGCTTAAATATTTACAGGAAATTACACCAGATATATATATATAGGCACGCTATATTTTTAAGCGTCATATATATATAACGAAAAAAAATAATTATATATATATATATATATATATATATATATATACCAGGCAGCTCTTAGACTATATATCCATGTCACATTACCAAATCCTGTATAGGTTAATATATGTCCCGTGTCAATGCGGCTTTCCTGCCACATCAGTCTGAGTCACGATGACACTGATTGAAATACTACTTGAAGCGGCAGGTAGAAGCCGGAAATAGAGATAGCGACGAGATAATACATAAATGATGATGATCAACTTCTTAACAACTAAAATGCTGCTGAAAGTGGTGTTACATGCAACCCACTCACTCACCCATTCATCCACTTAGCCAAGTTACATGGCCACCTGTGTAGGATTGACAACGGGGTGGTCTAGTGTTTCAAGCGTTTGCTCGTCCCGCTGAAGACCCGGGTTCGATTCCCGATATGCTACAATTTGTGAAACTCATTCCCGGTTTACCCTGCCCTAAATATTGGCGGAATAGTTCCAAATGCGGCGTTAAACCGTATCCATTCACTCACTAGAAAGACGAACACGCCCAGCTGACAATACGCTTCGCAAAGTCTATGGTAGTCCTGCACCATGACCGTGGAATATATTTATTTTATGAAAAAATAATAATCTAGAAATGCATACAAAAGCAAGTCTAGCCAGCTCAAGCTAGCTCTATTCTGAAATCAGCATAGGGAATTTTTTTTATTTTTAGAGTCAAGAAGGATATTTTGTAATATAAGATTTCAGAGACTAAATGTTATTCAAAGTCTATGGTTATAAATTCCTTTCTCTACCGTCATCTGTTTACAATCTGCTCCACGTAAATCTACAGGCATGAAATCCCACTTTATGACACCTGAGCCATAAAACCATAAGTCCTATCGGCTTATTACCTGAACATTCTTCGCATAACAATCCACCACCTGTGTCTAATTGGACATATCTTATCAACTCCGAGATCCACAGGTAAATTAAATCATAAAATCTCACAAACCACACTCCGTGTTTTGTTCCGCACACGCCCGCTGACAATGATAAACACGTGGCCAAGAACACTTATCACATTTTCCCTAATATCTTATCATTACCTTATACGCTTTGTTAAAGTTGTAATCTGCTTTATCTCACCGCTCTGCAGTAAAGCTGTTATTAGATATGTTTTCCGTACTGCGTTACCTGGTAATATGGGAGATAAATATTTACGGAATGCGGTAATCGCTAAATTTGATGGTACCATTTCCCGTGTGTCTTTCCTCGTGTAGCATTACCATACTCGTCATAAAAACACACAGATTCGTCAGAATCGATGTCCGAGTCATTGATATTATTAGAACGGGGTGGAGATTTTTTTTACAAGATGTAATCTACTTTTGTGATGTAGGATTATTATCAACATGTGAATCGTGTTCACATTGTGTTAGGCGTACACATTGTGTTAGATGTATATACATTGTGTGCAGTTAAACGCTGTGTTTTATTTCTGGGTGGCAACTAGTAAACAGTAAACAGTAAAATAAAAGCGTGACATTTTATTTTACGTTATTGGGAATACCTTTGGCAGCGGCATTTAAAGTCGCTACGCGTTAGATGTAATATCAGAAGTTATTAATATATTATCCTAAGAAAATATATTAAAAAACCCATCGAATCATAATCGTCATTATATTCGTGAAGGCCATTATTCACTAATGATGATGATGGTGATATTCTTCTTCTTATTATTATTGTTGTTGTTATCATCATCATCATCATCATTATTGTTATTATTAATATTATTAATATTATTATTATTATTATCATCATCATTATTGCGGCCTAGCTGGTTTATTTGAAAAGGTTAATATCGTACCAAGTTCGTTGTAAGCCCCGGCCGTATATGTGTTATGCAAGTGCCTGTGAATCTGACTGCAAACTGAATTTCAATACATATGGTACATCTTATCGGGACTGTCGGGTAGCCTTGTGGTTAAAGCGTTCGCTCGTCACGCCGAAAGCGCGGGTTCGATTCCCCACATGGGTACAATGTATAAAACCCATTTCAGGCGTCCCCCGCCGTGAAATTGCTGGAATACTGTTAAAATAAATCACTCCCTATCATATAATTATCATTATTATAATTATTTTTGTCATTATTATAATTATTTTTGCAGTAATCGCAGCTTCTGCCATACGCAATAATGAAGCTATAGTTTATTGCTAATATCGTTTATTACTGACAGTGTATTCAACTATTTCTTTAAGATCTGTTTTCTCCTTTCTCATGTTTAACGCTGAATAGCAACCAATAGTAACCAAATAACATAAACAAAACGGTCAAAGTATGATCAGCTAATTTTGTACAGGTAAATATCTTCAGGGGATATGCCCCTCGGAACAATACTAAGGTCATAGAATATATTGCTTATTTATATGGCAGTGGTATTCGTGTCGTGTTCGTTCTGGCACGCAAATGTTGAACACGTGGGTTCTATATATAGAATCACTACTTAGAGCCGTATTACAGCTAAGATTGCGTCACTTATTACAACTTTATTAGTGTCCCTTTCAGAATTCATACCACTAATGATGTCTTATTCAGTGTTACATTGCTTGTCAATTTCACAGATGACTAATTATCGCCTTTATTTCTTTGCAGGTGGTCTGGTGATCACCCAATCAAACCACAGGACGACCTGTCAGTCAACGTTGATTGACGAGGGACTATTTGAATTGTCATTAATGACAGAAGTGACAAATTACTTCAAGTGAGAGGACAAACGAAGCTTTGGGGTTGAATAATTCGCCATCTTTTCCCAGGAGCTGATGCTCACTTCGATTTGAAACCTGACGGACTCCTATAACGCAGTGATACATTTTTGTGCTGCAACAATTTGAGACTTTTAAAAGATTTTATGCTGTTCAATTTTGATAACTGGAATCTCCGAGCGTACGGCCTGTCATCGAGTGCATGGTTCAAAGCCCGCCATCATTAGGAAGATATTTATGCCAGTAATTCCCAAAGCGGAGAGAAAAGTTTCAAGGAATGCTCTTCAAACATTGTTGATCCCCCCAAAACTCTGGATCTGCGATCCCCGCGTTCCTTCGTGTCTTTGTGAGCCAGGATCGTCTGCTGACACGGGATTACTCGGAGCAGACGACAGTTCCCACAGCCGACGACATACTGTATGTGGCATTTGAAGACGGGGGCGAGGACGTGAAACAAACCTGAAACTCATTGTGCATCCCGGAATTTTCCTGTTAGAGTTAGTGATAATAAACGCTGGTCGCTGATAACATCAACGACATCGTCCGGTTGTGAATGTGAGCAGACGACATTTTGTGCGAGACATTTTCCCCGACTTGATGTAACACCGAAAACTGAGGTCATCTCAGAGGGTGCGTGCTTCCACAACAAACGACGTGGAATTAAATTTCCTCCAAATTTCAGGACAGTCATAATCGCCAAGCAGACGACATCTCTTGAGGCGGTTTTCAAAGAACGATAGTGAAACAGAATCCACGCAGATCGTGATAAAGAAAGGGATCGTATTACAATCCCCCTTCACTGTGCCCGAACGAAACCCACGGCCACACATCACTGACAACCGACCCCTCCAGTCTCCGCCAACTGTTGCCGATACTGCCTGTGCAGCTGTTGCAGAACGACCTGCCTGGTTCATGAAGCAGCGCTGTAGCGCTGTAGTCCTGTTAGTACTGTCTTAGCGGCGGTCTCTCCTCGGAGCTGATAAAGCCACACAGTCGAGCAGGGGAAACGAACGGGATCAGAGGGAAGCGCAGATTCCCTCTCAGAACAAAGCGAGGGCTCGCGGTGTAGTCCTGCTGACTCGTGTGAGTGTTGAGCTGTTGTGAGGACCAGCAAGGCCTAATATTCTCGGATCGTACACGGACTAGGGATTGTTGCGGACTAAGAGTGTCGTGATCGGAGGAGAGTTCAATGACAGGTTTGTGAACGACTTTGAATATTGCTGTTAACCGGTTTACTCCTCACATTTCACATTGTCTTGTGGCACTGAGGGATTTCATATCGAGGGAATTAAGGAATATATAGTTCGGGGAAACTTTGAATTTGAATCTACCAAGGAATCATTATTCAACGAACAGCGTAATCCTCACGTCGATTTCTAACGCTAGAACTGACCAAATCTATATTCGTTTCCTAAGACAGCGGAGTTTTACAAGATATCTGTGCTGTTGTGAAAACCAATACTGTGAGAACCATCAAGACATTTCACGGACGGCCGCTATCAAACATACAGCTCGTCAGCTTAACTCAAACGTGAACAGCAAATTCACAGGATTTCAGTGATAAAATTTCACTGAAAATCGAAGACGGCGGAATTCCGAACATATTTCAACGAAAAGTAAACAATCCCTCCACTCGGATCGCGAGCTTTCCTCGGAGGCTGCAGGTAACCGCACCGTGTCGTCTGCTTCTCCCGCCATGTTGATTTTCCAGGTTGAAGGGTATTGATCGTCTGCTGTAGTCAGTGTAAGCTAGATTACCGAGCTATCCAACATGGCGTTTGTTTCTCTCACTGCAAGGATGTTTGTGCGCGGGTTTACGCCTGGATTTATTCTTCTATTCCTTCTATGTGAACTCTCCGTGAGGGGCGAGGACCCTCCCGTGTGTACAGTGAAAGGACGGGTATACACAGAACTGAAATGGTACGGTTATCTCGTTCAGAAACCATTCCACCAAGACTGGGCCAAGATTCAGTACCAGATCACATACCCCGTGAACGAGTGCTGCACCAACCTGCTTATATACTATGATGATCAGATTCGGGAACTTAAAGAGGGGATGACTTGTGAAGAACGGGAGAACATTCTCCCCGCCAACAACAATCAAGTAATTCCGTTATACAAGAATAACAAGACTGTTGGTTGCAACGTGTGGAATGAAACCGGGGGGTCATACTATGTGTGTCTCGGGGAGCGAATATTCAGATCAAGTGGCCCTAGAACTTGGTATTTCGCTCTAAGTCGCTGCGGGTCAAAGACACCGTTGTATTTGAACTATGTGTTTAATATATCTGGATTTTATGGCGACTGTGAGGACGACCCCCTTGCTAAGACCTACATTCCTCCCGTGAATGCTCCAACGGATCGGTATATGTTTGTGGCTATCGGGCTGGGGGTGGTGGCAGGCGTTGCCCTCATACTGGCCGCCATCTTCTTCGCGTTGTGGCTCCTAGGAACTCGGAACCGCACTGCGAACAAGGGCAGCTCTGTGACGTCGAGCCAAGCCACCATGACACAGGACGACGTCTTCTACGTGAACCCATCATTGTCCGATCAGGGGCAGACGGACTACAGCCAGTCGAGCTCGGAGAACTATTATGAAGTTATCCCGGAGAGACGGAGTTATGAGAGCATCAACACTCACCTTGCCGTACCCCACGGTCACGGCCACGCCCACGGACACCCCCATCCGCACGCCCACGGGGCAAGACATGCAACATATGTCAAGGACATGCGTCACCCCTCATTCCCAGCGCAGCTTTTGTTTGAGGACTACCCACCCCCTCCTTACCAGCCACCCCGGGGTCTACCCAAACACCACACCCTTCATCACCCACCCCACCATCACCACCCCCTCATCGCGGCCCACCCCCTTCACCACACAGCTCAAATCAGAGAGAGACCCGGTGGGGCAGGGCCTGGACCCGAGAGGGTTCCTCTCCAAACTCACACCGAAACAAGTGCATAAATTGACACTGGCATCTGATGAAGATGGGGATGAGGCATCGATGGCCACCCGCGGGCGTTTTTGTTCGGACACTTCTTGAATATGAAGCCCGCGGACTATTGGACCAAAGTGTACAAATATCGTGATTCGTGTTGATATTATGAAATGAAAGGCTTGGCGCATCGGAGTACTGGACTCATCCTCGTGTGTCAGGGGAGTTGGATGAACAATCACTAGATGGTGGAACTATGTACCCAGAACATCTATGAATCCCTTCTATGATGAACATGTGGACGATCCAGTCTGTGTTTCCACCAACACAAGTGTGCCAACCGCACTCAACATTGTGCCAACTGGGAATATTTATTTGTCTCATTTCTCAACATACAAACGCACTTGGCACTTATCCCTTGTATGTACAAAGTTCACGACTTCGGATAATCTATAGACTCCTTCGGACATGGTTGACATGACCTATGACTCTTGACCTGACCTCTCACCTTGCCTTCAAGGCCGCGGTGACCTTGTTTTGCTCAGAAGGTTTTGAAAGTGCTATTCGCGATGAATGTTTCAAAGTATTGGCATTTACTGCCGACTAACGGGGCGAGTAAGGATGTTTTGTTGGAAGTTTTGTGGAAATGTTTTGTGGGACTGCATATCGAAAAGCGAAGGCATCGGGAGTGATTTTTTTATACATTCCCACCCAAAAAAAACAGAAACGTAGAAATTGTATTACAGATAAATTTTGTATGTGACAATTCTTTTTTTTTTACAAATCGTGACTTTTTACCTCAAAACTATGACACCAGGGCGAGCGATTACAAAGGAGTGTGTGCCTTACGGCGATAGTCAACTGTGTCAAGTTGTCAATTTCAATTTCAAGATGAATGATATGACAGATGACCGATGACAATATGTCACGTGTGATGATTAATGGCAGACAGGGGAGACAACTTGTGTCAAGAGACGAGAAATGGACGCTGTTGAAAGCGGTTTATGGAGACCCGTGTATGTATTTAATCGTTAGCATCGTCTATCTTAGGAGCAACATGACTCATTACACGGCTTGGCATGTCATCGTGCGAGGATCGACATCTTGTGTTTGACCTCGATAGTCGATTGTCGTCCACCTACAGCTCCCGGAGTTCAATCCCCTCACCACGAAGTAGCAAAACAGCAGGAAAAACATCACCATGGAACTGTTGAATCTCTGGTCTGTGTTGCGATTTGTATGATTCCTTAATTAGAGAGGTTTCTTGTTGCCAGGCAACGGCGAAAAACGTGATACTCGCCGCTTCAGCGATCGAGGCCTCGGTACCGACTGTGTTGGAATTCCTGATCAGCTTTGAAATTACTCGCAGCGAGAGAGACTGGTGTGTTCTGAAATTGCTTTTAAAGAATTAACCGATGTTGTGAATGTAATTATGTACAACTCGGCTTGCTGCGAGTTGCAGATATTCGCTCATCGCTGTGTATTGATATCTTATGAAAGCAATAGGAAGTTCCCACTGGACTACGAATGGGACGGTTGTTGTTTGTAAGTTTAGCCTGTGGTGTCTATTTTGAAATTGACACGGATTTGACTTTGAGGATTTGCTACACAATCTTGAAATGTACCATTGAGATTTAGGATGTAATACACTGGCAAATATTATTGTTACTAAATCGGGTGTATTTGAGACTTTGTGCATTATGATTATACATACCTAATTGAATATATATCGCTGTATTAAAATTCTGGCTGCATCTATATCAAGGGCGGTTCCTTTGTACAAAGTGCAATTTATAAAGAATAACCAAATTGTTCAGAGTATCACCGAATATTGACAAGCTTGTTTACACGTGTTCACACCTACTGAAATTAGTAACAGCAGCAATTCCACATGAAATTAATGCGTTACCAAATTAATGCGTGTGTCGACCCGTAGCCTAAAATGCGTCAAACATTTTTTTGTGTTCACTTGCGTCGCGCATATTTCTGAAACTGGCCAAATTATACATGAATGCCCCCAATTGATTTATTTTATTAACCACAAGAATTACGTGAATTCGTCTCCCTAGAGACGGGCCGTATTGTACACGATTATCAAAGACACCGTGTATAATCCAGGAGGACTCGATATAACTAACCATTTACTTCAGTCATACCTGAATCAACATTATTCTTGTAACGAAAATCTTTTTGTTCTGCGTTTGACATACATTTTATCTTTAAAACAATACTTACCTTAGTACATTCTTGACAAATACGTAATTCCAATTATTGCACAACATATGGATAATAACGAGAAAATATATATCTGAAAATTCTTGTGTCTGGGGTAATTGTTCAGTCAAAGATTGGGTTAAAAATCCAGGTATGATGTGGTGAATGTATTATTGTATTGTTCTATTTATTACAATTTTTATGGCTTAGTTGAGAGTACTTACCTTGTTTAAAATTTGAAATTCCCCGAATATGCATTACATTGTCATGGAGATGTGGTATGAACTGTGTGAGAGGCAAAGCGTTCACTCGTCACGCCAAAGGCCCGGGTTCGATTCCCACAAGGGTACAATCAGTGAAGCCAACCCCGGTGTTATCCAGAGTGATATTGCTGGAATATTGCTAAAACGGCGTAAAATAGTATTCAAAAGATCAAAATGTGGTGAACTGAAACGCGGTTCTAATATAAGTTGTCAAAATTCATGTATATTGCAGGACTATGATGAACACGTGTAAACAAACAAGATGAAATCAACATCACCATTCCCCGCTACCCATTCCAGTGAAGGAATTACACTGCTGAAAAGAAGTCAAGGACCACTCGATTAAACAAGACCGATAAACTCTAGTAATATGAAAGAATCGGATGGGCCTTTACTTCTTTTGAGTAGTATATATGTAGGTCATTAATCATGTTTTACCGCAGTTATTGTATAACTTGTATATTGGTATGGCACCAGTATTTAACTGCGGTTTATGAACGGTATATGATATTTCTGTTGAGCAAACATGTGCTGTCGTTTGTGATTCATTTCAAACAGTCGCGTTCATTTCTGTAATTGATTTTTTGTACGAAACCTGAAAATCCTTTGCATGCTCTGTTGTTTATGCTATGATCAGATTTGAAACTAATGTTAATTTATCATGATTTCCTTGAAAGAATTCGATCCCATGTTAATTTATCATGATTTCCTGGAGAGGTTCGATCTCACCCCAGTGTAAGTTATCGATCCGCCAGGCCATCGTGTACATAATGTTTTTCTCGGCGGCTTTATGTAACCAATTTACACGCCACGCCCGCCTATTGTATATATCATAAGTAGGTCATTCGGGTAATCAACCTCTGTGTCAAATTTACATTTTGTCAATTTCAACATAACACATGATTAATTTGTTCGATGGGCTATTGATAAGTATTACCACATGTTCCGGGAATTTATTTTAGAGTCAATTCACCGATGTCAGAAATTGATATTACGTTTATTTTTTGAAATAAATTAAATAATATATTTATTTTGTAGATATTAAGGTGTGTGCTGGAAGTATGTTAATGTGTTAATGTTAATGTTCATTGGCCTTTGTTGATGTTTTGAAGTAGCAAATATACATATGGATATACAGAGATATATATTTACTTCATGATACCACCTCTCGCATCGAGGTCGGGACTACACCTACTTCCATATCCACATGCACGGCCCACACCCTCATCAAGAACACCCCTCATCCACCCTCCCACAACAGCAACTCCTCATCAAGAACACCCTCACCCCCCCTCACCCCCCAACTACACACACACACACACACACACACACATATACCAAAGAAACGCCACGAGTCTAACACCACCCCCACCACTCCCGCGACAAATTTTACCACTACCTATCCCACCCCCACCCCCACCCCCACCAGCTGACATTCGTACCATACTCATACCAACCCACGTCACCCATTCACACTGATACCACACCAGCACCCACACCCGTAACATCCACACCCTCATCCACACTCTTACCATCTACACCCTTAACGCCTACATTCAAAGTGTAAAACTTTCATTCATAAAAAATGTCACTAAAACCAGCCACGCCCACACGTCCGACCCTTCGCTACCTGTATAACAACCGCTAAACATGTCCCTGCGGTTAATATTTATGTCATACCAACTATTTTCAAATAGGTTTTTTGGTTACCAATTAAGCAGTGTATAATAAGGGGGCGGTCGGGTAGCCTAGTGGTTAAAGCGTTCGCTCGTCACGCCGAAGACCCGGGTTCGATTCTCGACATGGGTACAATGTGTGAAGCCCATTTCTGGTGTCCCCCGCCGTAATATTGCTGGAATATTGCTAAAAGCGGCGTAAAACCATATTCACTAACTCACTCACTTGTATAATAACCCGGTGGGGGTCCTCTTGCACAACACACGGACCAATAAAACGGGAATTAGGTAAAATCTGGGAAATCGTGATAAATCAACACTCTGCTCAGTATCATATTTTCTCTCGATGTCCTCGCCATTGTGACGTCATCACCCAGCATTTGTTTTTGCCAATGTTGCATTGAATATTTTGATATAAATCATTCTAAAAAAATCTGTATTTTATGTTGTTTGTATCAAGTTAGACAAGTGTTGATCAACCCTTTAGCCTTGCTATGGCTGAAATTATGCTGAAATCAACACGGAAGGACCCCCGACACGTCTGTATTGATAGTTTCATAACTCATAAGGTTATGCAGGTGTTTAGTTGCACATATACTCACGGAAAGTAATAAGGGAACGGTATGAATGGTATAAATGTTGTATTGTACCGAAGACAGGCGACCGCCTCCGCGGTCTAGTGGTGGAGCGTCCGCCCGGAGAGCCGATGGTCCGGGGTTCGATCCCCGGCTGCGTTAAGAGATGGTACTTATATACACCTGGAAAAAAGACAAGCGCAGCCTACATAATTTCATCACATTATGTCCGATAATAATGTAATGATAAAACAGCCATTTTTACAAAGTGACACACTTGTATAGAAAAATTCAGAAACCAAAATCGACTTTTAATGATTTGCTCATGTTTAGTAATTAATCATTTATTGTTTCATGGTAATAATTATTTGATTACCTATTCAATTGATCCCTCTGCTTCTTTGCATCATGAGGGCGTCGGGTTGCCTTGTGGTTAAAGCGTTCGCTCTTCACGCTGAAGACCCGGGTTCGATTCCCCAGATGGTACATTGTATGAAGGCCATTCCTGGTGTTCTCCGCCGTGATATTGCTGGAGTATTGCTAAAAGCGGCGTAAAACCAAACTCATTCACCAACTCTTTGCATCATATATGACCCAGTCCTTACAAGCACCCGTAGATCCCTACATCGCCTTGTACAAGTGTTACAAAAGGTCGCCGTTGCTTCCTGCACATTTATAAATATGCGATCTAAGTTTAAAGTAGATTTTAAAAAAGTCATGTTGAAGTTCAGGATATATGGAAACAAATTGGATGGTGCTCAATTTTGCTCGGGAAGAATATCAAGCAGTGTAATACCATCTCCCTACAACAGTCCCTACAACAGTCTACCATGTTGTCTCTGAAATGAAAACAAATTGAGATTTATTTTTTGGTAAATATTTTATACTATAACATTTTATGTTTGGGATAACTCTTTCTTAGTAAATTACAGATTCTGATTTTTTGGGCGAGTCCCGTCCGGAATTCGAACCCAGACTGCCAGAGTGAGGCACCTAATCGCCAGCACACAAAGTCAGCGATCTTACACATTCAGCCACCGATGCTTCAACAAAAATGAACAAAGCTTCCATGGCCGAAAGCTATGAACACAAAATGCCATTTAGAAAGTGGTCACGTGTAACAAATGTTATATTTGGGATAACACTTTCTTTGTGAAGTACAGATTCACGTACAGTAAACTACGTTTATAACGAACACGTTTATAACGAACTGACAGATGTAACGAACTTATTTTTAGTCCCGACCATTTGTTGTATAAACGCTATATATATGCTTATAACGAACTACGGTTATTACGAACTAAAATTAGTGGTCCCTTCGAGTTCGTTATAACCGTAGTTTACTGGTCTAATTTGGTTGAGTCCCGTCTGGGATTCGAACCCACACTGTCAGAGTGAGGCACCTTATCGTCAGCATACAAAGTCAGCGATTATAGAAATGATACTAAGAAGTTTAGTTTCATGTTTATCTACTCACATATCAACCTCTATTCGTCAACGACCGCCTCCGTGGTCTAGTGGTAGAGCGTCCGCCCGGAGAGAGGAAGGTCCGGAGTTCGATCCCCGGCCGCGTCATACCAAAAGACGTTAAAAGATGGTACTTGTCGTTACCCTGTCTGGCGCTCGGCATTAAGGGCCTAAAACAAGGACTGGTCGGCACGGAGTCAGTATGCTGTGTCTAAGTGGGGTATTCATGTTAAACTGCGGCATGGTATATCAGTGAGCTAGCACTATAAATCGGCGTCAGTCCGGTCTAGTACAAGCAGCCACACACACACACACACACGTGCATGCACGTCGCTATATAAGTGCAATAATCTTGGACGCGACGTTAAACCCAATTTCACCTCACCTCTATTCGTCAACAACACACTGACATGCTTTTGTTCTCACCATTGCCCTAGCACTGCGCAATGATTTTTCTACTTTGAGTGAGTTTTGTTTAACGCCGCTTTTAACATTATTACAGTTATATCACGGCGTGTCAGCTTAATATGGGGGGAAAGCCCGAAGTGATGGAGGTCAAGGACGTTTACCACTTCGGTGAAACCCACGAGCACGGGTATGGTGCTGACAAACCTAGAAACATAATTGGGGCCAACCGGGATTCGAACTGACACTCATAGGTTTCTGGCGTGCCCACAGTACCATACAAACTATGGTTATAACGAACTCAAAGGACCACTAGTTTTAGTTCGTTATAACCGTAGTTCGTTATAAGCATATTTGCAGCATATATACAGCACATGGTCAGAACAAAAAAATAAGTTCGTTATATCTGTCAGTTCGTTATAAGCGTGTTCGTTATCAACGTAGTTTACTGTAGTTGAGTTATCTATTACCGTAAACCTAAGCAAGTGTAGATCAAAACTAAAACAAGACTAATTTCTTTGATTCTACACATGAAAACAGCGGTGAATTAAAGGTTCTTTTAAAAAATAAAGTGCCCAAATAACCAATTTCAGACAAAATGGACCCGTGAAGATCCGGGTTAGAAAAGGTCTTCAGCAACCCATGCTTGCCGCAAAAGGCGACTATGCTTGTCGTAAGAGGCGACTAATGGGATGGGGTGGTCTGTCTAGCTGACGTAGTTAATGCTAATTTTGCGTATCCCAATTTTGCGCAGATCGGTGCTCATGATGTCAATCAGTGTATTGTCTGGTCCAGACTCGATTAATCACAGACCAGATTTGGAATATTGCTGCCTGCGGCGTTAAACAACAAACAAACAAACAAACAAAAACAGGACTAACTTGTGTACTTCAGGACGGATTTGTTAACATGCTACTGATGTCCTGTGTTACGTGCTCACGGTAATGTCTTTGCGCGTGGAAAAAAATATATGCTAAGAAACAAGCCTTTTAGACGTCACCAGTTCCTTGAATTGTTTCTCTCCCACGTTTTTACTATGTGCATGTTATCATGTTATATAGGTGTACATATTAATTTCCAGTGTTATAACAGTCTATCATAAGCCAGGATATGAGTTCGTAAGAGGCGACTAACGGGATCGGGTGGTCAGGCTCGCTGACTTGGTTTGATGCATGTCATCGTATCCCAATTGCGTTTATCGATGCTCATGATATCAATCACTGGATTGTCTGGTCAGACTCGATTATTTACAGACCGCCGTCATGTAGCTGGACTATTGCCGAGTGCGGCGTTAAGCAACAAACAAATAATCCTATCGGACAGGAGTACATACAACCTCAGTATCGACCACGTCGCTGTATAAGTGCAATAATCTTGGACGCGACGTTAAACCCCATTTCACATCACCTCAACTTGTAATGCCTTGGAGAAGAGGAGCCTAGACAGAGAAGGTTCACAAAAAATAGGTTTTCTTTGTCTGCCAGAAATGTGTATATTCAGTATCGAAAACATGTTTACACATCCCTTCAATATGTATTTAACGACAAAAATGAAGGGGAAAAACCAAAGCCGTCTTACAGTTGTCCAATGCTCCTTAGATCTGTGTGCGGAGTTCGTGCCTTGCTGACCTTTGGTTGAGACCATGACAATAATCCTTGCTTTGTCAGTACTTACAGTGCGCATGGGATTCGCCAAAGTCCACTTGGAACTCTCCCCTCTCATTTACAGACAAACCCTGTGTACATGAAATAACCTACCGGGTAAAGAAAGTATATACTTGAAAATTTGATTTGATTTAAAAAAATACACGCTATAATATATGCCCCAAACACAGCTATGACACCCGTGTCGAATACATCACCTCCGAAAAACCAAATCGTATTTGCATATTTTTTTAGCCACCCTCAAACCTATGTGTATACTATCTTTCCCTGGCAATTTTCTAATCAAAGACATGTTATTCCTAACTTACTTACAGACATTTAATATCAGTTACAATGCTAATCGAAAATTTAGAAGAACATTTTTAAATCAAGGGATGAGATTACTTGTGATGAAGACAGGATCATATGCTGCACACTACGATAAGATAAAACATTTATATGATAAACCAAAACAGAGATTAAGTTTATCAATATTCAGGAAATATTACGGATATTTAGATAGATAAACACATTAGATATTCCCCACTTATCAATAATAAGGCTGATCGCTGATATTGTCGATAAAAAGATTAAAATATAATTATTCAAAAGCAGATATTTTGTCCAAAGTCGAGAGATAGAGACTGGACTATAGACGAGACTACGATGCTTCTTCAAAGTGAGCCACACAACACACACTGAACATCGTTGCTTGTAAATATGCCCCACTTATCATTGATAAGACTGGTCGCAGATATTGTCGATAAAAAGATTAAAATATAATTATTCAAATGCAGATGTTTTGTTCCAAAGTCGAGCGATACAGACTGGGCGATAGGCGAGACTAGGATGCTTCTTCAAAGTGAGCCACACAGCACACACTGAACATCGTTGCTTGTAATAAGAATGCGCTTGATCATTGCGACCATTTTAGACAAGGCTGTCGTATATTCTAAATATTCGTGCCTATTATTCAATAGTATGCAGCTGAGTGTCAAACCTGTTACTGTTGACCTTTTGTTGTGCCCTTTTATCACGAGGTAACTGGACACGTATAATGACTTAGAATTCCCTAGATGTCGCCAAGTTTAATACTATGCTGGGTGACATTTCACTTGTCCCAATACCAGCTTCAAGGACTAGCTCGCCCGTGTGGTAATTGATATTCATAACATTATGTCATTATTTAATCAAATATCATATTACAAACATATCCTATGTTCTTGCTGATGGTGTGTATGTTGTCATAATCATCATCATCATCGTCGTCGTTGTCGTCATTAGTATTATTATTATCATCGTCGTCGTCGTTACCGTCATCATCATCATCATCCCCCTGCTCATAGGTTTCATCAAAGTGATAAACACTGTTGAAAGCGGCGTTAAACCAAACTCACTCACTCAATCACTCGAATGGCGAGTGTTCTTTCGTGACGCCAGTCACATGGGATCGATGACCACGCTGTATTTATCATCATTTATAATCATCCCTGGCACCAATACGTATACCGTCGTTGTCTTCACAAATGTCTTAATTTCTGTTACTTTCATGTTTTCTTTTTCACAGACAGTATAACGTAACACCACACAGAATGAGGACATAAGTACGTATCCAACGTTTCCTGTATTCGTCGTACATGCACATATCCTCCTCCTCCTCCTCCTCCTCCTCCTAGTCATCATGTCCATCACAGTTTCCATCAGCATTAACGTCGTCACAATGACAATGAACATCGCTTTCATCATCACTTTCATCGCCACTTTCATCATCAGCATCATCATCACTTTCAACATCACTTTCATCATCACTTCCATCATCAGTATCATCATCGATTTCATCATCACTTTCATAACACTACATCATCAGTATTATCATCACTTTCATCATCAGTATCATCATCAGCATCATCATCACTTTCATCATTAGTATCATCATCAGCATCAGCATCACTTTCAACATCACTTTCATCATCAGTATCATCATCACTTTCATCATCAGTATCATCATCACTTCCATCATTAGTATCATCATCAGCATCAGCATCACTTTCAACATCACTTTCATCATCAGTATCATCATCACTTTCATCATCAGTATCATCATCACTTTCATCATCAGTATCATCATCACTTTCATCATCACTTTCATCATCAGTATCATCATCACACTCATCATCACTTTCATTATCACTACATCATCAGTATCATCATCACTTTCATCATCAGTATCATCATCACTTCCATCATCAGTATCATCATCACTTTCATCATCACTTTCACCATCAGTATCATCATCACACTCATCATAATTTTCATTATCACTACATCATCAGTATCATCATCACTTTCATCATCAGTATCATCATCACTTTCATCATCAGTATCATCATCACTTTCATCATCACTTTCATCATCAGTATCATCATCACACTCATCATCACCTTCATTATCACTACATCATCAGTATCATCATCACTTTCATCATCAGTATCATCATCACTTCCATCATCAGTATCATCATCACTTTCATCATCACTTTCACCATCAGTATCATCATCACACTCATCATCACTTTCATTATCACTACATCATCAGTATCATCATCACTTTCATCATCAGTATCATCATCACTTTCATCATCAGTATCATCATCACTTTCATCATCACTTTCATCATCAGTATCATCATCACACTCATCATCACTTTCATTATCACTACATCGTCAGTATCATCATCACTTTCATCATCAGTATCATCATCAGTATCATCATCAGTATCATCATCACTTCATCATGAGTATCATCATCACTTTCATCATCACTTTCATCATCAGTATCATCATCAGTATCATTATCACTTTCATCATCAGTATCATCATCACTTTCACCATCAGTATCATCATCACACTCATCATCACTTTCATTATCACTACATCATCAGTATCATCATCACTTTCATCATCACTTTCATTATCACTACATCATCAGTATCATCATCAGAATCATCATCACCTTAATCATCAGTATCATCATCACTTTAATCATCAGTATCATCATTTTCATTATCACTTTCGTCATCAGTATCCTCCTCGATTTCATCATCAGTGTCATCATCACTTTCATCATCACTTTAATCATCAGTACCATCATCACTTTCATCATCACTTTCATTATCAGCATCATTTGTGTTATATCTGTGTATTTTGACAGACCGAGATATCAACACATGAAACAGAACTAAAGAAACACAATCGCTTCAAACGTTTCCTGCATTCGTTCTTCTTCGTGCACATACAAGCTACGTGCGTGTTTCGAGTTAAGGAGAATGCATTTCTCACGACCCATTACATCAGCTCATTTTACATTTTATATTCACAGACACAGCAATTAATTCCATTCGTACATTATTATCATAAAGGCATAAAAACGCCAGCAGCAATTTTCCCGCAGCCTCGGCGGCATAATTACGACGACGGCGGCGATTATGCAACAACCCTCACGCACAGCTGCCATTAGTGATGCTACATCGCTGTCGACACAACCACCACGTTCCCGTGGATATTGGTGTTACACACAACGCTTCACATTACATAATATTCCAGCTGACATGTTTGACACATCGACGGAAATATTCCCTGAATCATATCTCAGTGGTTAACTGTTGGGAAGGTATGTAATTACTCCTATCGGTAATGTCAGGAATCGACTCGAGCTTGTTTAAGAATGGATTCATGCATGGCGAAGTCTTAAAGAGATTTTTCTTGGCGTGCCAAGATGCTTACGCCATGTTTGTTTTATGGGGCCCGCTGGTTTAAATGTTATTCCCTCACGTTAATCTGTCGGGGCATTATCAGGCCAATATACGCGCAGCGGAAACAGTTGAACATAAACACTGTTCTCAGGGTTTTATTTGGTTTAAATTGATATAGTATTTACATTTAATTTATTCTGATTCTGCAATTGTACTGCCAAAGCCATGGGCCACCACCGGTACAATTACAGTTATAGTGAGTTAGTGAATGTTGGTTTACGCCGCAATCGGCCATATTCTAACTTTAAATGTTTAAATGTTAAAGTGAGTGAGTATTGTTTTACGCCGCTTTTAGCAACATTCCTGTAATATTACGGGGACATCAGAAATGGTCTATACACATTGTCGCATTGTCCCTTTTGGTAAAAGTAAAAAATATTATTCAAAGGGTGACAATGGACAACGAGACATGCTCCTGCAGTGGTTTACCTTGACTTACAAAAGTCGGTGTTCAGGGCACCCCATTATTAATTTTAAGGGTCCTTGCAGCAATATGAAGGGTCCTTTAGAGTAATGAAATGGCGTAGTATACTGTTCGTTTGGATAATTGCTTTCTGCAATGAATCAATGATCACATGGACAGTTGTCATGTTTAATGTATGAAATAACAGACGCCCATAACTGCTCGTGATGCGATTTAGGTTCAATGGATATTATTGCTCGTCGCCCGGGACACAGTATACAGTAAACTACGGTTATAACGAACTCAAAAGGACTACTAATTTTAGTTCGTTATAACCGTAATTCGTTATAAGCATATATACAGCATAACTACAGCATATAGTCGGGACTAAAAAGTTAGTTCGTTATAAGCGTGTTCGTTATAACCGTAGTTTACTGTATTTTGTTTCTGCGTCAATTCTCTACTTTTGTGCGTACTGGACGCACATTTGTGCGTCGCGTAAAACCCCGGTCCTTGCTAGGATTCCATAGGACACCCTTAAGTCACACCTACTCCGATGGTTATGTCTCAGGGTTCAAATTCAAATTGAAACCTTTAAATATCCCAGACAAACCCAGGACAACAAAATAACCTCTTGTTCGCTGTTTACAAGTTTAACATACACTAACCCGGTACTTCGTCAGTTAATCCAGTGTGTAGGACCCTCCAGTCTACGAATACCCATTGTCCATGACGAAATTAACCCTATTGTCCCGTCTCTCGCTGAGGGTGCTCCGATTTTTGTAAGCGCACCTGAGTTTATTGCCGCTACTTCAGCGGCGACTCAAAGCGACAGCCGCAGGGGGGGCCATTAGACTGGTGTCGAATTCGGCATAGTTTCTCCACATAATGCTGCTGTCGACACCCGTTTGATCCACTGTCGATCAATCTGTATGAGAAATATCATGAAAGAATGACGCTGAGCCCTAGGATTTTAGAGTCAGGGGGAAAGGAATTGAGCTCCTATACTGTCTGAGCTGCGTTAATCTACTCCGGCAAGTGGATAACGTTACGTGTTCACGGGGAACTCAGCAATACTCCAACAATATCGCGACACGGGACTCCAGAGATGTACTTTACTCTTGCTCTCAGTGAAGAAGTGTGGTTGTTAATAATTAATACTCATCCATCCATCCATCCATCCATCCACCCACCCACCCATTCATCCAGCCATCCATCCATCCATCCATCCATCAATCCACCCACCCATCATCCATCCATCCATCCAAACACCCACCCACCCACCCATCCATCCATCCATCCATCCATCCATCCATCCACCGACCCATCCATCCATCCACCCGCCCACCCATCCATCCATCCACCCACCCACCCATCCAAACACCCACCCACCCATCCATCCATCCATCCACCCACCAATCCATCCATCCATCCATCCACCCATCCATCCATCCACCCACACACCCACCCACCCATCCACCCACCCATCCATCCATCCACCCATCCATCCATCCACCCACACACCCATCCACCCATCCATCCACCCACCCACCCATCCATCCAGCCAGCCAGCCACCCACCCACCCATCCACCCACCCACCCACCCATCTATCCAGCCAGCCAGCCAGCCATCTATCCAGCCAGCCAGCCAGCCAGCCATCCATCCATCCAAACACCCATCCATCCATCCATCCACCCACCCACCCACCCATCTATCCATCCAAACACCCACCCACCCATCCATCCATCCATCCATCCACCCACCCACCCACCCACCCACCCATCCATCCATCCATCCAAACACCCATCCACCCACCCACCCACCCATCCACCCACCCATCTTTCCAGCCAGCCAGCCAGCCATCATCAACCACTACCCACACATAAACCTATTCATCTATCCAGTCACACACCCACTACCAAACCATCCATCCATTAACTGGTATCAGGTCTAAGGAATATCCTTGTTCTGCGATGTCAACTTTGACACTGACATGTAACTTCCCATAAAAATGTCGCTGGAGATCTTCTCCTCTGCGCTTGACAGGGATATGGTGACATCATGCCCAGGGGATATACGGGAAAATCCAAAGTTCCTTTTTGATCAGGCTTACAACATTCAAGGCCTCAGGTATGTTTTCCAAAGGGTTTATAGAAGACATGTGGAGCACATTTCCAAATTTCAGACATCAGTGACAATAATGATGTCTGATGCAATTCCCTATTTTGACTTGTACCGTATGTTTCCGTATATTTTTCAGGTGAACAATTGCCTTGCCTTTGCATGTATTTGTGACGGATGCCACCGGCGTGGAAGGATTTGCTCATTTTTTCGCGAGCACCTGGTGTCATCACTATTGATTAGTCTGCATATGACTCTAAGAACATGTTTCTTGTGAGTACTATTTCATTTGTCAGTACTGATCATGAGCGAGGAGGTAGTTTGTCGACATGGCAACATAAATGTAGTAAACATTAAATATTCAGGTTCAAATAAAACGTCAACGCCAGAGAATAACCAGTCTCGATTACCCGCCGAAACAGATTCCATTGGACGTAAAAGTCTGATTAGCTGTGAACATAACATGAATGGATCACTGATAATCAGTGATGACACCAGGTGTTCGCGAAAAGGACACGCATGTCCTGTCCAACCGGTAGCAACCGGTAGCAAGCGCTTCGGTGGTCCTGCAAATAATTCATAATGGACTTACGTTATCTAATAGTTGTTGATGACGTCATTCCAGTCCAAAGTGACGTCATCTGTGTCACGTCTCTTAGACGCTAGGATTGTTTTAGATCTTTCAAAAAGTAATACAACCCTTTCAATAATCAAAAGAAATCTTTGCTAAAAATAGAACCACTGTACGATTCCGACTCTACAAGAGGAGACGGGTGGCCCAGACGTCTAAGGCGCTGCAATTCGCTATGCAGAGTTGCGTCCCTTGGGCACGCCAGGAACCTATAATTGTGGGTTCGAATCCCGGTTCGCCCCGATTATGTTTCTAGGTTTGTCAGCACCATACCCGTGCTTGTGGGTTTCACAAAAGTGGTAAACGTCTAAGACCTGCATCATTTCTAGCTTTCCTTCCACATTAAGCTGACACGCCGTGATATAACTGGAATACTGACCAAAGCGGCGTTAAACTTCGACTATAGCATGAACATGTGTTTATGAATCACTATGAAATAGTGCTGATACCAGGTGTGCGCTATCAGGTGACAGTCGTCACAAACACATGCAAGGGCAAGTCAATTATTCACCTGAAAGAAAAAAAGGGGACAAGGCAAAAAAGAAAATTGCATCAGACATGATTTTACACACGTGCAACTTGTCAGGCATAATAAACAGACTACTTCAATTCATATGCTACGTCGTATAGATGTTTTTATAACCCTCGGAAACAAGTTTGTTTACTTTCATGTTTCCCATTTCATTACGACACGGAAATTGACGACGTTTGCCGAGTGAAAAAACTCATTCAAGCATGATTGAAATGCAACATTGTCTTATTGGCCGGCTTCGCGTCTCAGTCTGGAAGTCGCCACTCTTTCCAAGGCTGGTCCGAGAAACCGTAAGAGTTTGGTAAGATCTCTGAGAAGCTATAAGCTGCCCAGACTAATTCCCCTCACGTGATGGGGGTATGATCCCCAGTCAAGTGGAATCCCCGTGGGGCGGGCCACCAGAAGAGCCTCGAGGAGGTTCAAGTGTAGGGGTTATTTCAACTGGGGTTTCTTATGAAAGGCGCCACTTAGCCAAATGCGCACACGCCATATGCGTTCGTGATTATACATCGCAGGAGAATAAAAGCTGTTTGTGAATTTGCATCACCTGAATACATGAATGTGTTCGTAAATATAAATCACAGGGATATCAGAATGGTGGATATATATGTTGTTTATGTATACGTTTTAAATGGATATATAACGTATTATACGTATTGACAAAATATATGTGTGTATATATATATATATATATACAACCGCACGATTCCACTCAGTGAACATTTAGAAGCATGTGGTAACGGCAACTTTTTAGTTTTCCCGCTATATAAGCTACATTTTGATCATGAACCTACATTGTTTCAAAAAGAGCAACATTTCATTCATAAATACGCGCCTAAGTTAAATGTAAAGGCGTAAGTTATTTGTCCATTGTCACCTTGGTATTGTGACGTCATAGTTTCCTAAATGTTATGACGTCACGTAACTATATGTTACTACTTCATGTCCGTTATTCAGTTATGGCCTGGTGAGACTCGTACGTGGTACGAGTTGAAAGCGCTAGCCAATTAAAACTGTGTTCAATCTTACTCCACTTATTTAATTATTACTATATATATATATATGCTATATAAGTTGTTCGTTGTTATAAACACCAGGATATATCCACTGTTAATCGTCATATGTAACAAGAGTATAACGCTGTTCATAATTTATATTACATGTATGTATACGTTGATTATTGTTATATTTAACGAGGATATATACGCTGTTGATTAACAATATATAACAAGAAAATATATGTTGGATATACTTATATTTATCAAGGATATGTATGTTGTTTATTCTT